GTGTCCGTGTGTCCAGCCTCCTTTTCTTGTTTTCCTGACCTTAATGGAAAACAGTGGAGGAGTGCAACAACTTGGGTGTGGCTTTCTTAAGTTTTGCTATACTCCATCTGAATAGACGGAGCTGCGATTGTCTGTTCTGTGCTTGTTAAAATCCTTGCCGGGCTTTTTTTTTGCCTTGGTTTGTGTGTGTGTGTGTGTGTGTGTGCGTGTGTGTGTGTGTGTGTGTGTGTGTGTGTGTGTGTGTGTGTGTGTGTGTGTGTGTGTGTGTGTGTGTGTGTGAGCTTAATTACAGCAGCTAATCATGCTTGAGACTTACTATTATACCAGCACGCCGTGCAGAGGTGAGACGGATCCAACACTGGAAGTAACAGAAGGTGTGTGGGCTCGCTGCCTGAGAGATGCAGGGTTTGTAGGGATGGCCTGCAAAAGAAAGAAGAAGAAGAAAGAAAAAAACAATGGCATCTGTCCAGGATTGCAAAAAGTTCAAAACACAAATGTATTACTTCCTATGAAAATCTTTACCTGAACCCTGTAGCACTGATGTGGCTGAACAAAAACCTCCTGCCTGACAGAGGGAGGATGCTGAATTGTAGCCGTCACCCAGCAGATCTCACGCTCAGACAGTGGAAAGTGGCTGCCTGTCGCTGGGCTGGTACAAAACATAACAAAAACCAAATGAGAGAACACAAAGAGCCTAAATCAATTTAGTTTATTTGTTTGTGTGCAAAGGGATGGTGTTAATGTTTTTGCCTATTTGTTCATTTGAAAATAACTCATGGATCACCTTTCATGAAACTTTAAAGGTGTGGAACACCAACAAAACATTTTTAATGATTATTTCTGATTATACTTGGTCACTCTGAGCGTTTCATGCAGGCTGAACATGAAAATAGTCTCCTACACCTGTCTCCTGCATTAACTTCCGATAGAAAATAGACGGTGAAATTCTAGGATTTTAAAAACCTGACAGATCTACATCACACCCTTCTTGTCTTACGACAAGGAAGGTTGTTGTTGGTTTCTCATACAGGAAACAGCAGAGCGCCTCCACTAGAAGCTAACTGTTAGCATTAGCAACTACTCAGCAGAACTCTACAAGGCTTGTGTTATTTGTGGAGATTAAACATCGGCGTTGCAGATTAAACACAGTCAGTGGCAGTCGTGTTGCTGTTAGCCAATCAGAAGCGAGAGATCCAAATATCAGGAAATAAGAGTCCCAATCCTGCCATCTGAAGCTAATGGGTTAAAGCTAACGGTTAAATGGAACAGACTTGCATCACGTGACCACGGCTTCTGCAACAGTCACGTAACGTCACGCGACACGGGAGTTAACGTTATATTTTATACGTATACGTTTCAATATAAATATATAACGAGTCTTTTACTTTTTAAATTGTGTATAAATTGGTTAAATTAAATATGTAAGCAAATTTCTTTGGATATTAAAAAAAACATTTCATATATCAACCCGATAGTTACAAATAGTTGACTTCCATTTAAACTGAAAATTTGCCCCCGGAGTAGCTGCCGGCTTCTGAACCGCCATTCTTTTGGAAATACTGTCAAGGCTAGGCTACAAGACACCTCCCATGTATCCTTGCTCAGCTAGCTAAAAGGCTAACAAACGGAGAACACACGCCTCGGTAGAACATAAATATTGGAACACACCTCAGAGGTTCCTGATGACGTATCTCCTAGGCAACCGGGGCGGGAACAAGACATCAAGGCAAGGTTCCTTGGCATTGAGAAACACCCTCCCTTTCTTCCAGGTGGATTCTCCGTGCTGAAACAGGCGCATCTGAGTATGACTTGCAAGGCATTCTTTCCTACTAGAGACCACTGCAAATGCACTGATAAAATGAGTGAACCAGATCTTTAAGAACGTAACCACCTGATATACATCAACACCTGATTAACTTTAGGAGTCCGTCCAATTGAAGGCTGTCACCACAGCCAATCAAACGGCTGAAACTCATCTGGTTTTATAGATATTGAGCATCAACTTGGCGTGTGGGTAGCTGAGAGTCATTCGTATTCTGAGAGCTGGCTGATTGAGCAAGATCTTGCAATATTGCATGAGATGATGTGCAACATTGTTTTACCAAAATGGCTTTAACTCTGAACTCTTGCATTTTTCAGCCTGAGATGATCTTTAGTTAAAAACTCTGACATTAAAGGTGGCAGGGATGCTAGGCTCTTACAATACTGTTAAATGCATTTATCAAAAATTAATGTTAGTTTCAAGAAAACAAACAAAAACTAGGGGATGTCATCAATAAATCTGCAATTGTGTGATGAGTTCTTTTCACGGAACAGACAGCTGATGTGTGAATCTGTTGCACCCCACCACCACCTTTTTCCTCTTCTTCTCCCTCAAGCTCTCAATCTCCTTGACTTGCTCCCTTTTTTATTCTCTTGTTGGAAACAATAAGTTCTAACTTTGACCTACATCACAGAGGGGATGTGACAGCGCTCTTGGTGCTTCGTCCTGTAGATCAACAGCATTGGAATGGGCCCGCTTTAGAAACGGACATACCGAGACCCGTGTCAGAAGCGTGTTGCCTTGGGTTGTCGTCGTCCAACCCTCTGATCTCACACATCACAGACGTGTGCACGTGCAATCACACATCTGACATCCAAGCAGCGTGACACTTCCTTTACTTTTACTCCCCTTCCTAAGAGACGCTGTAACCTGTGGAAATCTAAGGACTGAATGAAATTTTACGCTTATTAGCATTTTAGACCCCCCCTTTTCTGTTAGATTTCCAGAATCCATCTCATGCAAATGTTTCCTGAGTAAATGGACAAGCACGCAGGTTTTGTGCTTTTTTAAGGAGATTCAGGTCCTGGAAAAGAGCCAGAGCATTTCTTCCCCAAACTTTTGTTGCCTGCGTCTCTTTCATTTCCCCCATAGGCTAGTTCTGTGTTGTTTTATGTACGTGTCCCTTGTTGTTTCTTCCATGTGGTTTCTTTGTCTTTCAGCCTCTTATCTCTTTGTTTCTTCCCCTTGCTCTCCTTCTATTTTCTCTCCCTCGACTTCCTGCTATCTCTCTCCCCCTCACTCACACCCTCACTCAATCTCTTTCTCTTTCCTCTCCCCTCCCTCCCTCCCTCCCTTGCGCTCACTCTCATTCCCTATCTCTCCCTTCTCCTCCTCCCCCTCCGCACCCCTTTCTCTCTATCTTTCTCATTCTCGCAGCACTCCCAGCTGCTGATGATTGATCAAGGTTTTCAAGGTTTGCCCTTTCCTGTTATTTAGGAGGAAATGTTTATGCACAGTTCCTCAGTCATATGGTCACGATTGGCACGTGTCCACGCAGGGATCTGCACCTATCTCAGATCTACTTTCTCTCCACTCTTTTTTTACATGTGTGTGTGTGTGTGTGTGTGTGTGTGTGTGTGTGTGTGTGTGTGTGTGTGTGTGTGTGTGTGTGTGTGTGTGTGTGTGTGTGTGTGTGTGTCACTTGCAAAGGTGACTTATCAGAGCAGAGTGCCTGTCTAATTATCAGGATCTTCTTTAGGGGCGACCTGTTCTCGGCCCACAGGTTCCTCTGCCGCACCGTTTCTCAACACCGCCTGAAACAAATCTGGAAGTTCAATAGTTAATGTCTTCTCTTGCTGTTTTTTCCTTTCCACCCTCTCTCCGTATCTCTCTCTCTATATCTCCTTTCCTCTCCTCATTCTCTTTGCTCTCACCCCCCCCCCCCCCCATCCCACAACCACCCTTCCTCATCCTCCTCCACCGCCACTACCCCCCCCCCCCCCCCCCTCGTTTCTTTTCTCTTGTTGATGGACTCTTCTTTTTTATTTTCACACTCCACCATCCCCCCTTTTTCTTCTATCTTTTCTCTTTTTCTTTCCTCTAGTCCCCCTCCCTCACCTACCCCCCCCCCCCCCCACACACACACACACAAACCCTTCTTTCACTGCATTTTCTTTTAACTCTCCCTCCTTCTTTCTTCCCCTCCCCACCCCTTCTTTTCTCTCTGTCTTTTATTCTTTCTCTTTCGCCACATCCTTTCTTATACCCCTGCCCCCCTCCCCACCACCTCCTCCTCTAGTTCTCCTTTTCTTTCTTCCTCCTTTTTCTTGCTGCATTCTCTTCTTCCCTCCCCCACGCTGACTCTCTTTCCTTTCTCCCTTTTTCTTTCTGTCTCTCACCCCCCCTCTATTCCTCGCTTCCTCCACTCAGCTCCCACCCTCCCTCCCAGTTTCTTTCTTCCTTATTCTTTCACTCCCATGTCTGTCTCCCTCCCTCCCTCCCTCCTAACTGCTTTTCTCTCGTTTCTTTCTCCTTCTCTTTTCTTTTGTCACTTTTTTCTTCTGAAATTCTCAGACAGTGTACTTTACTTTGCCTCAATTGTTAATTAGTTTGAATTTTCAAATAATGGCCGTGAACTACTCACTTTAACTGAAAAGTTGTTATTTTTGTGTGTTTCTCTGATGTTATCAGTCTTGCCTGTTTTGCCACTGACAGACGCACCTCCACCCAAAGGGGGTGTGTGTGTGTCATGAAAGTGTGTGTGAATGCACCCAAACATGTATGTCTCAGAGCATGTTTGTGAAAGGACATGCACAGAAAGGAGGAAATACTGATTAGATTTTAGACTTGTTAGTGCATTGCTCATTATAAAAAAGGAACTGCAGAGGGTGAGAGAGAAGATTGCGTGTCTGCGTGTGTGTTAGTGTGTGTGTGTGTCTTGCAGAGAAATGTGTATTGAAGGGTCATGTTGAATCGTATCTAGTGAGCAAGGAGATAAGGTGTGTGTGTTAGAAAAAAAGAAAAGAAAGAGAAGTGAGATGGGAAGCAGAGGGTGGGAGGAAGAGAAAGAAATGGGGTGATGCTGTGTGTGTGTGTGTGTGTGTGTGTGTGTGTGTGTGTGTGTGTGTGTGTGTGTGTGTGTGTGTGTGTGTGTGTGTGTGTGTGTGTGTGTGTGTGTGTGTGTGTGTGTGTGTGTGTGTGTGTGTGATGGGGGGTCAGGCACAGTCATTTCTGATAACAGCAACAGTAGGAGGAGGATGAGCCGTGGGCCCGCCCCCCACTCTCCCACAGATATAAATAGGAGGTGGATTTTTTTACTCCACTCATTTCTCCTGAAGGATGAGATCCCTGAAACACCTCAAACATCACTCCAGGAACAATGTGGTGAGTTTGGGACTTAGAGGAGCTTCTCTGGGGAGGAAGAGAAAGATAAAAGAGGGAGGTGGTGACTTTGTTTTGTAGTTTGTCTCATGTTTTCTTTTCTTGTCCGAGCCAGAGGGAGGAAGTACTTTTCACATGTACACGAGTGCTGCAGTGAGAACATGTTTGCAATGAGAACAGTTTCCGTCTTCTGCCTCTGCTCTAATTGTTTGTCCTTAGGTGTCTTTCAGCCGTAACTTTAAATGTGAAAGTACTCCTGCAATAATTGCTGCACCTTCTCTCCTGTCTACATGTCATTTGTCTTATTTCTCTTTCATTTTGTCAACCTTTCATTTGGCTGTGCTTTTTCCACACCCCCTCCTCCTTCCTCTCTTTCTCTCTCTCTCACTCTGTCTTTCTGTCTCTCTTCGACTGCCCCCCCCCACACACACACACTCCCCCTCTCCTTTTCCTTTCTCTCTTCACTTCTCTCACATGCTCACTCAATCTCTCCTTCCCCTCCCCTCCCCTCCTTCTTTATCTTTCAGCCCCTCCATCTCATTTCTCTGTCTCCCTCCCTCCACTCCTCCCCCGCCCCCGCCCACAGCTCTTTCTCCTTCCCTTCATACCTCCCTCCCTCTCTTTTCTTTCACACACACACACACACACACACACACACACACACACACACACACACACACACACACACACACACACACACACACACACACACACACACACACACACACACACACACACACACACACACACACACACACACACACACACACACACACACACGTCTCTTTCCTCTTTCTTTCTCACAAACACGCAGTCTGTCTCCGTCTGACTACTTTAAAAGCAGTAATTATAAATGACGTGGTTATCAGGGCATCCAGGTCTACTCCTCCCCTTTCCCATACACACACACCTTTACTCCTTTTTTATCTCCTCTTCCCTTCTCCCTTTCCCTCTGCTTCTTGTCTTTTTCCTCAGTATTGTGTCAGGAAAGGAAGCAGCTCTTTCTTACACGACAGAGCGAGGTTCTGTCTGCAGAAAGAAAGAAAGTAGACAGGGTCAGAACTTGTCACATACATTACCCAACCAGTCAGATCCACGCTGTGAAATAACCTAAAATCAGCGCCATGCAACCCTCTTCATCTCCTTTGCCTTGCAGGGCCAGTTTGGTTGAACTGCAGTTTCTACCCCATAGCTTTGCTGTTTCTTTTACTCTCAGCAGGATAAACTTGAGCATGTGGTTCTGAGACACTTCTGAATTATACAATTAAGTCCTTTGCGTCGGTCTGGAATACAGAATAAATTCAAGGCTCAGGCGAATGTCTGTTATGGATATGAGAACGTCTATCAGCATACACCAGCTCAGTAAAAAAGCCCAGAGTGGAAGGCATTACGAGGTCGAGAGACTCTTCATGAATGAGCAAGATTGCTCCAGCGATGGGTCGATTGCGGTCAGCCCGGCTGTCCCAGGACCCCACAGGAAGTGCCGAGGACAGTCCACGGAAGTCGACTTCCTGAATGGACCTGCATCCCTTGTCGTGCTCTTTTATTATTCCAAACCCTGTCAAGGAAGGAAGCCGAGTGTGAACAGAGATCTGCGTTATCGCCCTCAATCTAATGTTCTGCGGATTCAAGAGGAAGACACAAGGCGTTGTCTGAAGGCAGCATTCACTAAGAAAACCAGATTTATTAATTCTCATGAAGTCTGCGGACAGAGGACTTCTGCTTGTTGGAAACGCAACAAACACTTTAATCAATACACAATTGCAAATTTGTAATGAGATATTGAAAATTCAGCTATGTCAAGGACGGCTACAGGTGTTGCTTTAAGTTAATTAATGACTTATGCCAATTATGTGTTTTTGTTTTTCCTCAGGAGGAAGAGAGTGGCTGCTTGGAGCGAACCTTCCCAAAGATGACTGAGGGCCACATGGATGTGGGCACACAGACTGAGCCTGTGGTGGTGCTATCTCTGGCTCAGGCTGCCGTTCTTGGCCTTATCTCTCAGAATGAAATTTTTGGAGCCACCATTGCCCCAAACGGCTTTTACACAGGAGAGACCAGAGAGTGTCCCCCTCCTCCTCCTCCTGAATCAGTGGAGTATGAGTATGCCGACCAGCTGATAGGAGCCAATGGGGACTACCTTGCTGAGCCTACTGGGGAGCTCGAACCCCACTGCAGTGAGAGGAGACGGCCTGGACCCCGAGGGAGAACCAAGAGACCCAGGAGTGGTGGAGACTCTGACTCTCACCCACTTAAAGAGCCTGCTCCTGAGGCTCAGGTTAAAGGTGAAAGACTTGAGTCTGACACCCCTCCGTCCTGCGTTCACATGAACAGCAGCCACAGTCCTAGCAAACCAGAGGAGCTAGTGACCCAAGGTTCGCTGAAAGAGGAGCAGGCCTGTGGAAACTGTAACTCCTGTGTGAGAGGTACAGCTGGGCCACAAACGGATGGACATACGGAAAAGGAGCAAGATGACACTTCTGTTAAGGAGAAAGAGAGGAAGGAAGATGAGTTAGTGGTAGAGGAACAAGAGGAAGAGGCCCTAAACCTCAAGACAAGTGGAGGAACGAGCAGTCCCCCGGAGAACCGGTTTTATGATTCCAACGAGACGGCCTACGAGTCAGCCGATATGTCAGTGCCAGGAGAATATGAGGAGAATGGCCAGGCCATGCTGTGGTCTGACCCAGAGGGGCTTGCTAGACGAATGCAGATTGACCGACTAGACATAAACGTGCAGATAGATGAGTCTTACTGCGTGGATGTTGGAGAGGGTCTGAAACGGTGGAAGTGCCGCATGTGTGAGAAGTCATACACATCTAAATACAATCTTGTCACGCATATCCTGGGCCATAATGGGATTAAACCCCATGAATGTATACACTGTGGGAAGCTCTTCAAACAGCCGAGCCACCTCCAGACTCATCTGCTCACGCATCAGGGAACGCGCCCTCACAAGTGCACCGTTTGTGAGAAGGCCTTTACGCAGACCAGCCACCTGAAGAGGCATATGTTGCAGCACACCGATGTGAAACCTTACAGCTGTCGCTTCTGTGGCCGTGGCTTCGCCTACCCCAGTGAACTGAGGACCCATGAGAACAAACACGAGAACGGTCAGTGCCACGTATGCACCCAATGTGGCCTTGAGTTTCCAACCTACGCCCACCTGAAGCGTCACCTAAGCAGCCACCAGGACCCCACAACGTACCAGTGCACAGAGTGCAACAAGTCCTTCGCCTATCGGAGCCAGCTGCAGAACCACTTGATGAAGCACCAGAACGTGCGGCCATACGTTTGTCCTGAATGTGGTATGGAGTTTGTGCAGATCCACCACCTTCGACAGCACGCCCTTACTCATAAGGTACTGAAACCTAGAGGTGTGTCTTTGTCTACCAAATCCTGTGTTGAAAACATCTCTAGTGTAGGTAGACTTTGTGCCGCTAGTACATCACTAAACTCTTACATGAATCGCTCATCAAGACACAAACCATCCAGGGAATTTAGAATAAAAGAAGCATTAAAGCATCTTCCTCTTTGTACTTACCGTCTGAATGTACTAGAATAAATTGGGGTAAATGGTGCTCTTGCAACGATCTTTTCTCCAAAACCAGTTGCTTTGTAAACATAGTCTTCAAAGGCCTTGAGTTTTTGTGTGGTTCAACCCCACCCCCAGCTCACGTTTTGTTTCTTTAGTAAAGCTTCTTCCCTTCATGTTTGATGAATCACTCCAGTCTCTATCACCACATAGTCTCTTTTTTATTTCTATAGAAAATGATTTTTATTTAGGTTTCAAAGGTGAAACCTTAAAAAGTGTATCATTCACAATGCTGGTCTGTTAACACAAACCCTTTAACGAGTCAAATTAAATGCCAGAATACAAATGCTCAAACACACACAAGCTTCTTATGACTAATTTATTTTCCTTCCAAATGCGTATTTAGCCGCATTAATTTAACGGCCTGACCACTTGTTCTTCTCTCAGGGAATGAAAGAATTCAAATGTGACGTCTGTGCCCGAGAGTTCACCCTGTCTGCCAACCTTAAGAGACACATGTTGATCCACGCCAGCGTGAGACCCTTCCAGTGCCACATCTGCTTCAAGACCTTTGTCCAGAAGCAGACTCTAAAAACTCACATGATCGTCCACCTCCCTGTCAAGCCTTTCAAATGCAAGGTGGGTTTAATAGCAAGTGGGGAAGTGATGCGCAGGAAGGACTGAATGGGTACTGACCACTACTTCTCCCTCTCAGGTGTGTGGGAAGTCGTTCAACAGAATGTACAACCTGCTTGGCCACATGCATCTCCACGCTGGCAGCAAGCCCTTCAAGTGCCCTTATTGCACCAGCAAGTTCAACCTGAAGGGCAACCTCAGCCGACACATGAAGGTTAAACACGGCATCATGGACACCACGATAGATGGACATGGTGAGTAACTGCAACTTTTGTCCTAATTAAGCAGCCCTGAAACAGATGCAGTCTGAATCTGTTGGCGGGTTATCTGTGGCACATTTCCAACTGGGGGAGCTGCACTAGGGGCCTTGTGTCACATAGTTGTCATTCAGTCTATCCCTAATGCCTTTTGACTAAGCATGTACTGTAAACCAGTGGCCAAGTATTTTGATGTTTCAGTCTCTCGCTGTGTGTTTAGTAAATATAGCAGTGCCTGGATTAGACATGCCTGTCTCGATCAGTGGAGACTGATGTAGAGGGTGGGGGGCAGCCTACTGGTTGTCCTGAATGTGGCCATATGTCGTTAGAATAAGATTCGTGTGTGTGTGTGTGTGTGGTATTGAGGTCAGCGTGGGATCATCTTTGCATCTTCCTTTTCTTTTGTCAGAACCCCCCCAAGAGACAGAAGGTCAGGAGGACTACGAAGAGGAGAGCTTTGAATTCAGTGAGCGAGAAAACCGTGCTAACAACAACACACCAGACGTCGCCAAACTATCTCAAATGGAGTATTACAACACTTACGGGAAAAGCGCGGGGCGCTTTAACACGGCATAAAGGGTTAAAGAGAATGATTGTAAAAATGTTTTTTTTTTGTTTGTTTGGTTGCTGTTAAACACAAAGCTTGCATCTCTCTTAAAAGGACATGAGGAAAACAAGCTAACTGCACATTGATATGCACTGGAATCACTCCAAAATGTGAAAAATGTACTTTTAAAAAAAAATATTCATGCTTTCATTTATAATGCAATTTTTATTTTTCATTTTTCAAAAAAAAAGAAAAAAGAAAAAAAGGGGGGGGGGGGGCAGTCTAGATTTCAAGTTTATAGAAAATACACCAGTTGCAACCAGATCATCTGAGGCCTAGAATAAAGGCACATTGTAATCAGAAGTTACACTGGACTTTCAGACAATCCCAGTTTCTCCTGCCTGCTGGAGTTCATAGTATGACAGGTGAAATGAAGGGAATTTGTGTTTTCACCGACCAAAGCAAATATTCTCTTTTGAGTTATACTGTGATAAATTTAAGTTCTGTGAAAATGACTTAAATTCAGTTTTAGCTTACAACTTAGGCTTTATTGTATATTATTGTACAGCGTGCATCAGTCCACCTGTATTTGACTGGTAATATAATCAGTGCATTGCACTAAAAGGACCACTGTTTACTTCTATCTGTTCTGCATTAACAAGCCTCTCCCTGTATTGATCTCTAGTCTATGAATGTGACAGTCAGGGGCGTGTCCAGGGAGTGGCCTGGGGTAGCACATGCCACCCTTGGAATCTGACTGGCCACCCCAGGTGCCACCACACTAATTTACCTTTAAATAGGCTTTTCATTGTCTACAAAAGGCTTGGGGGTAAAACAAAAAAAGTATAACCATTGGTGCCACCCATGCACAAAGTTGTGCCACGCCTGGGCCACCCCATTTTAAAAGATCTGGACACGCCTCTGGTGACAGTTTCTGCTGAATGTTTTCACACACCTACAAGAACATTTAAATGCCCCCTTTTGAATGGTTTACCAAAGAATTTGACCGAACCTGCAGTTCTACATGTGCCGTTTCTCTTTTTCTTGCCGTTTTGTGGAGCTGGGACATTGAGTATCTCAGGATCTCAATCGCAGACCTCATGAAATTACATTCAGGTCTACTACACACCCCACCCACCACAAACCCTTCTGCAGATCTCAGATTACTACAGGGGTGCAGCATCTTCTCCAGCAAACCTGATTCCAAACAAGTCGACACTGCAGCATTTTTTTGAAAACGATACCAACGCCATTTTCATATTGCATCTTTTTTTTATGCGTGGATGAAATCTTACCAAGAATTGTCCCAAAATGCTCGAACAGAAATATTAAGCGCCCCAGTGTGTTTGCGAGAGGGTGCCATCCATCACACTGTTCTCTGGTCTCAAGTGATGAACGACAACCTCCAAACATGTGACAGGGCCGTGCACCTTGTGGAAAATGATTTGGAAATGCGCAATATATTCAGTTTTCCACTGCTTAGCTTTGTCTCCTCCCAAACTTGTTACTTGAAGAACAAGACATCCATCTGCAATGTTATTATAGTGGATTTCAAATTAAAACAAATGGTCATTTTTGTGAGTTTTTTCAGCTTGTGTTCACACTGTCACTACTTTAGTGATGATTCAAAATACTTTCTGTATTAAACTTTAGTGACAAGATATTATGAATAGAATTGTATGTACAATGTTGTGTACCAGACCAATAATGTCAAATAAATTTATTTAGCTTTAATTCTGACTTTAAAGCTCAGTTTCTTTAAAAAATGCTAAATATTTGGGTCAAATGTGATTTATTGGCATGTATGTTTGACATGGGCTCCAGTCTTCTCAAGGCGTTACACAGCACTGATTATACACATTACAAAAATAAAACCTTGCACAGAATAGGACATGGAGACTGAGGTTCATCGGGTGGGAGGACGACCATTTGATATCCTAAAAATAACACTAGATAATCCTACAGACAGCGTTCTCCTTCTGGTGGAATAATGGATTTATTGACCTTTTAAGTTAAAAATGAGGTACAAAAACAAAAGAGTGCCACAGCTGTCTCTGCGTTGCTTCAAGTCCTTCACTTGCCAAGAGCTTTATCCAGATTGTTCTTGATGGCGTCGAGGAAGTCTGTGGTGTTGACGTAGTGCTCGTTGAGCTTCACACTGGAGGAAGAAAAGATAAAATCCGGTGTTTCATGGTGAGTTTAAATTTCAGCAGCACTTACAGGATGATTCATTGAATTAAAGATTTTTAAAGAGTGCTTTGAAACTTTTTTAATCCAAATTTTTCTAACTTTTCTCATTTTTAATGAAACCTATGAATTGATTGCGCTAACGAGAGAAACAAGCGAGAAATTAAAAGCACCACTTATCCGTTAGAGGTCAAAGACTTCCTCAACACGCCCCGGTATTCAGGAAAATTGGCAGTAAAAGCAGCTTCCAAACTTTATCACAAACTAACTCAAAAGCAAATAATACCTTCAGTACCACTAGTCCCTGCTGCGGAAAATGAACAGTAAGGAATTCTTAAACTGGAAGTACCAAACCTCGCTGTTTTAGAGGTGCCATTATAAGCTTAATGTCCCAAAACATAAAGATGCTCCAAGGACTAAATGGATGCATTTTTCAAACTGGGACTGAACCTAATGAGGTTTTTTATGATTAATTATTCTCTGAATTATGTTTTCAAATTGAGCGGTTTATAAAATGTTTGCCGGTGGAGAAAAATGGATGTCACCATTCCCCCAGAGCTAAATGGGACATCTTTGAGTTTGCTCTCCAGAAGTCACTAGTTCAGAACTGAAACACTTAAAAACACAAAAAAGCAACTTGTCCTTTGTGTGCAAATGGGTTGAACAGCAGCGTGTTTGGCAGCCGGGATCCTTTAAATGCATTATTTTTGTGTTGATCACCTATGCACATTACTTTGCATCCTATTCTTCATGTATGATTTAATAGTAAAGCAATGACACAAGTTTATCAAGCTAGTCAGCTTTGTTCCATCTTTTGTCCTCTCTGCAATTTCAGGAGGAAGTTTGTGCCTCTTTATCACTACCTCCCATCTGCAAGGTTATGAACATAAGATGGTTTATAGATGAGATTGAAGATAAAACCTCTTAAAAAATAAATTTAAAAAATATTGAAAATAGGGCAAGTTGCTTTCTCTTCAAATGATTTGGACCAAACGGACGCTTGCCCATACCAAAATCGAAACCTTAATCAGACTCGTTAAGGCTATGATGCAATAAAAACACATTTTGGCCAAATTACTTTAATATGCTTAATACTCCCGTTTGCTGTCAGAAATACTAAATCAAAGCAACACTTAAAACATCTGAACATATGGAGAAAACCTTAAAAAAAATGGGCTGTTTAAGAAAATTAAGCTTTTTTTTGCAACTTATGAAGTGATTGAACACAGTTCTGATGTCTGTGTCTCAAAATAAAACTAAATAACACTAAACTATAAATAATAGTAAAATACAAAGTTAATAAAATGTACAAAATACAAAAAAATGCAATAAACTTAAACTTCAGAGCTATTCCTTCTTTTGAATACAGAAACCAAACGTTGCCTCCAGCTGCAGCCAAGAACTGTAGGACACTTAGTGGCTTCAAACACTCTGGCCAACGTTAATACACACCAGTTAAGAGTCACCCTTTTTAGTTCGTGTTCATTTAGTTGGAACTACTACCAAAATAAAACATGTGCAGCTAATTTAACTAACACCAAGTCACATTTCTTCTAGTCATCACATTTATAGGCCCTGTAGAAGCAGAAGCCCAGTACCCAACCATTCATCCATCCATTTATGAGTTCACACATTCGCTCTTATTTTAATCAGCTTCTTAAGGAAAACATCTACATGTCAGCTCAAATTCAATGTTTCTTAAATTATTTCTTTATTTGACTGAGATCTCATAAATGAACCAATTTAAATAATAAAGTAAACCGTTAAGTTTGACAAATATATGGAAGTTTGCCCTAAAAGTAGATCTTACTTGGACAAGCCGTGGATGCATCCAGCGAGGTCCTTGGTCATGATGCCGCTCTCCACCGTCTCAACACACACTCTCTCTAGAGTCTGTGAGAACCTGCAACATAAAAGTGTATTACTTTAAAAAAAGAAGCCATCTTTACTGGAACAGCTGATGTGCTTTCAGGCATTCTGATGCAGCTTGTACTTTATGAGGTCAGGGTTTCCGTCGAGTTTGCCTCGATGCTCCAAGCCTCTGGTCCAGGCAAAGATACTGGCGATGGGGTTGGTGCTGGTCGGCCTTCCCTGAAGACAAATACGGAAAAAGCTGCTTTACGCCACTGGGAGGTTTCAAAACAGCATAAAAACTTCAAGGTTTGTCAGAATGTCATTTTATATTTTTGCCACATGATGGCAGTGTTGCTCCACAGACTACAAAGCATGGCTTCACACATTTTTTTCCTTCACTTCCAAGCTGAAATGTTTTCCCAATACATGATTGACAAAGACTGATGGCTGCAAACCTTCTGGTGCTCGCGATAGTGCCTGGTCACAGTGCCGTGGGCCGCCTCAGCCTCAATCGTCTTCCCATCAGGACAGATGAGGACTGAAGTCATCAGGCCCAAGGAGCCAAAGCCTGACAACAGAAAAACAAAACCATTAAGGGCATCCAACAAAAACCAGCAAACACACTCATAAAGTAGCAGATTTTTCATTGTAAAGCAGAAGTTTTAGTTGTGGAAAGGCTCACCCTGTGCAAGAATATCAGACTGAACATCTCCATCATAGTTCTTACAAGCCCACACAAAGGCTCCACTGGACTTCAACACTTGTGCAACCATGTCATCAATAAGCCTGTGCTCGTACCAGATCTTCAGTTTGTCAAACTCTGGTTTGTAATGTCTGCAGAAAACAAATATTTTTATCAGTTTTTCTTTAGGAAAATGGCAAAGATAGCAAAGTTAGTTTAGAAATACACCAAGGCACTCACTTCTCAAAGATATCCTGAAAAATGTCTTTAAATCTGCCGTCATATGCTTTAAGAATGGTGTTCTTTGTGCTCAAGTAGAGAGGCCACTTCTTGGAGATGGCGTACTGGAAGCAGCTGTGTGCGAAGCCTGAAATGGACTGGTGAGGAGAAAAAAACAAACAAACAGTTCATGACTGCGGTGGGTTTTTATCAGCTGTAAAAGGTTTAACAACCTTCCCCTTGTTGAGATGAAAGTCATCTGCGATGACCTGTGATGTTGTCAAATCAAACAGGCCGAGCTGATGAAGGCAAACAAACAGTAGCAAAGCTGGCCTACTGCCAGGAGAGAGGTGGGACTTCTACACATCTGTTTTCTTTTGGAGAATTTATTAAATAAAAACAATTTCTATTCTGCAATCCTACAAAAAACACAAGATAGATTAGTTTAAACTGTGGTAAACAAAATAAAAAGATGAATAGTTTTGTTGAAAGACCACAATCAGTCTTTAGGCTTTTACAGAAGAGATTTGTTGTGTTAAAGCGACACCAAGCAGTTTTTTACACTTTAACCAATTTCTTTAAAAGTGGGGTTCAGTGATTGTGTAGGTGGAAACTTCACAAGGGAGGGACAGCACTCTGCAGCCCTCTACTGATCAGAAACAACACCTAACAGTTTTGTGAAGCGGGTAGGTGCCCTAGGGGGAGCCGTTTTTGTGCTGGTAGCTAACTTAAAGGCAAGCAGTTAGCCGTTTCAGTTTGCCGAGCATCAATAAGAAAAGACAAGAAGAAGGAAAATAAGTGTGCCTTTTTTTTTGGTTGGCATCATGGTGGAGCTTGGAAGTAAATGTCAGAGTGTAACGTTTTTGGAGGCGAAGCAAAGAGCTAAAACCAGAGTGAACACTGGCCTACGCTCATCTGAAGAAGCTGAAGGACGCTACGAAACCAGACTGCTGGTGACCTGGCTTTGTTGCTGCTCGACTTGTAAGTAATAAAAATGTTTTGTCCAACATTGAGGATCTTTTCACTTTGTGGCTTATTTAGTTTCAGTTGGCTCATGTTAGTGTTAGCTAGATGTTAGAGCTAGCTACAGCTGGCTCCTGCAGGGTTGTTTATGACAGTTGTAACTCCACTTTCAACCAACAGGACAGATTAGCTGGAAACCGTTTAGTCCAACTTTAAAGGTACATGATGTAAGAATAAAGTAAGGATGGCATTCTGTGGTCATATTCGTGGTCGTACTGCAGCCCATTTCCATAACACACTATGACTTAGTTCTGTTACGTGATATTCGTGGCTGTTACCATTTACAGCTCAGCGCCAGATTATCTTAGATGAGGAAAAGACGAGTTGCACACTAAGTTGATAAATAGATGAACACATTTCACTGTAATAGAGTTGTTGGTAATTGAAAAAGCAGCTTGAGATATTTTCAGAGCAGACTATTTGTAATTCGACGTTCGCATTGTTAGTTCAATGTTAGCCTCTGGCCTGCTTCACCTGATAGAGTAAAACAAAAAGATGTCGTGGCTTCTTAGGGGTACAGGAAATAACTTCTGGGTCGCTCCTTTTACTGGCTTTGGTTTGTTAAACAACTCTGGAGCCTTTTGCCTGCCGCATCCCTCTTGAGCCGTTTTGGAAGGAGAAAAACTAACAACCCCCCCAGCTTTCTAAGGAGGAAACCTTCATTCCAACATGACAGTTTTATGATTATTTCACTGTAAACTTCATACTTATTGTACCCTTGAAACTAAAGATCGAACATGAACCCTGTGTTTGTAAAACTCAGGTGTTTTCTCACCTCATCTGTATTGTACATGCCCATTCCACAGCCACCAGCAGGGAAGTCAAAGACCTCCCACTCTTTGCTCTTGCTTCCATCAGCAGGCGAAAAGACCATCTTGAATTTGCCGGGCTGGTCCACAACAAAGTCTGTTGCTCTGTACTGTTGAGCAAGACAGAAACTGACAGTAAGCTTAACCATAAAGGGCGATGGATGCTTCCCTGTAATCTTTTCCCTGAGCCTTTGGACCCACCTGGTCACCAAAGGCGTGCCTCCCAATGGTGATTGGCTGTGTCCAACCCGGAACAAGCCTGGGAATGTTCTTGCAGATAATTGGCTCACGGAACACAGTGCCACCCAGAATGTTCCTGATGGTTCCATTGGGGCTCTTCCACATCTTCTTCAGGCTAAACTCTGCATTTAAAAACGTAGAAAGGGCAAATAAGAGCAAAATCTGCATGTGTGCATAAAGTAAAATCTAAAGGAGGAAAGATGGAGTAAGGAGGTTTCTTTTTAAATGTCAATTTTGTTATATGCAGAACTCAAGACATGCAGATCTGTTACAAACCTTCCACTCTGGCTTCGTCAGGTGTGATGGTGGCACATTTAACTGCCACATTGTACTTCTTAGTGGCGAGGGCAGAGTCGATGGTAACCTGGTCATCGGTCTGGTCTCGGTAGGGCAGACCCAAGTCGTAATATTTCAGATCTACATCCACGTTGGACAGGATGAGCTGAAGAGAAAGAGACAGAAAACAAGAATTAATAAACACATCTGGATGTCTGGGAGCCTTTTGGCTTAACACACAATAATCTACACATCAACCAGGATGACCACCACCTTTTCTTTTTGTTTGTGCATCCACCCACCCAGGACGACAACACAATCACCTTTTCTTTAATAAACTCCCAGATGATCCTGGTCATCTCATCTCCATCCATCTCCACCACCGGGTTAGCCACTTTGATGCGCTTGTCAGCATCTGTCGGAGGAGATGAACCGGTTAAAGGTAGGCAGTCACAACGATCAGAATCCCTTAACTCAAGTGCAGCCTAATAAAAAACTTGAGTAAAGAGTTATAGGAGAAAAAAAAACAACTGTTCTAGAATGAGCATACATTTGTTCTAATTATTAAAAACATATTTTTATAAACCAACAAATAAATTCATCAAATTGTTTATTTCTACTTAGGACATTTAATAAACCCTTTAAACAAAGGAGGATGACCAAAAGTTGAAACCTCTCCTCCGACAAATGAGAAAAGACAAATCCAAGGCACATCCATGCTAAAATTATGTAATGCCATCTAAGTTTGACTTACCACTAGAGTTTGAACACAACCAGAACAGAAGTGTGTCATTTAGTTTCTAATTTTAACTTGCTCTCCTCTTAAACCAGTGAGGATTACAGTCTCTATGATAACTGGTGTGCTGCTCAGTGTGTGGGAGTCCTGCCAGCAGGGCAATCTCAGTCAAATGAAAGAACAGGGGGAGGTGCCTAGGATCAAGTGACCATTGGGTTTCCCATTCAGGCCAAAACTTTCTCCTGCTGCTACTGAAGCCATCCCAGAGTAAGCCAAGCGAACATTAGGTGCTAAGTAGGGATGCACCGATCAGGTTTTTTGCTGCCGATCACCGATACCGATATCAAAGAATGCTGATCACCGATACCGATCACGTGGATTGGCCAGAAATTTTCTACAACATTATAATGACTGCTACAAACTACATAATCTGGGAATAAAGGAAATGTAACCTAATCTAAAATGGTCTGATCGGTCTGCTTTGATCTATTTTGAAAACTCCGATCAAAACCGATAGAGGCACTATCGGCCGATTGGGATCAAATGCCGATCCATCGGTGCATCCCTAGTGCTAAGTGGAATCATAACAACCAAAAGAATCTATTTGAGTAAATCCTCAATGATTCATCTCCAAATGTAGATGAAATAAACCGAATGCAAGCGTTTGCAGAGACTTGTGGCTAAGCCGGCGGGGTGAAGCTAAAGCAGCAACAGTTCAAACAGATTCAGCTTCTGTCTCAAGTGCCAAATATGACTTGGGTCTTTCTGACTGAAAATAACCTCCCAGGAAAAGCAGCTGTGGTGTGTGTGTGTGTTATAATAAAGCTCACACAGAAGAATAAATAAAGACCAACTTGTTCTGGAGTATTTTGTGCTGTTTAAGTCAGCTTCTTGCTGTCTGGGCTCTATTACACCAACACAACCTTTAACCTGCATGACAGAGGAGTTATCTTGGGAAAGCACGTCACATGGCAAAGGGATCCATGAAGATCATCTTGTTAGCAAACACGTTTTACACGCGTTAGCAGTAGATGAGGGTCACCAGGTGGCTTGGATGCCAGAGTTTTTTACTTAGATTATCTTAACTTGAGCAATTTGTCATTTTGGTCAAATCTAGAAATAATGCTAGCATTAGTCAAGTCTTGTGATTGAAATCACGCTGTATTAAACTTCCCTTAAACCAGACGTGAAAGTGTCACGAAACAACCATGCACTTCATGGCAATTAGTTGTCGTTCCTTTCCACCGACAGCAATGGGCAACTTTTTGGAAGCAAAGGGGCAAAATCCTTACATTTGAACTCTTTATTTTGGCCTACGCTTTCAAAACAGGTTAAACTCTGCAGTTCAGATTGGGCCAGACAGGAAGTCAAACACAAAATCAGAGTAAAACATCTGGAAACGTTCAAAATAAAAGTCACGTGCAGCATGTCATTTCACATGAAATCCCTGTAGCCAACGTAAACTGAACAGAAAGTAAACGACAGCCCTTTTTGGATTCATGCAGCTGTCGTTCTCCTTGCTCGTTATTGCGTGGACTTCTGAAATCACGCGTGGTGTGGTAATTCTCCTGTGATTTTGTGACCTCACGGGATCAGCTTTGTGGAACGCATTCAACTCTGTTTCGCGTCAGAATTATTCCCGGCTGGCCTGAGTTTTCAAATTTAATCCGGTCTTGGCTTAGTATCACAAAATATTGTCTCCCCAGTATTGTGATGTATATCGTATTGTCAGACTCTTCCCAAAATACCCCACCACTCCACTCCTCTCAAATTCATCTTCTCTCCCCGACTTGTTTTGTTTTGCCTTGAAATAAACCAGTAGGCATGTTTAACGCGCGCTGCTCGAAAACCAGCCTCCTCAGTGATGACACGTCCCTATTAATAAAAAAGTGAAATGGTTCTGGTGAATAGAAAATAAATGAACGGTTCTCTACAATGACTTGGTTCTCATCATTCAAAGCAAAAAGTTGTTCAAAAGAGTTGAGTTGTTTGTGAGCGTCACATCACCAGGATACTTGGCTGACAGACAGAAAAACATTATCAACCACTAGAAAAGACGTGAGCTCCTAAACAATGAACCGTTTTACCTTGTTGGGCTTCAAAAGGCAATTGTTAGACAAAGTAATCAACATCTGGATGCTGGAAAACTATGAATGTGTTGGTTGGACCAACAAGAAGCCCAAAAGCTTTATTTTATGCTTCAGGAATGTGTGATCACTATTGTAAACAACAGCTACTGTTGGATTATCCTTTGATTACTTAAAAGATTATTTCTACTGAGCTGTTAACATCATTTTTTTCTTCCTATAGTCAGTCATCAATCAAGAACTGATGATTTTAGTTTAAAATTTTTAAAACACTTTGTACAGCTGATTAAGAAACAACAGCGCTGCCATCACAATGCATTGTGGGTAAGTCAGTCGTAGCGAGCTACCGTCTGGCATCAGTCCCTAAGCCAGACTGCACTGGGAGGGGAGGGGCTGCAATGAGCTGAGCCGGTTATGTAACCTCTGAATGTGGACTCTGAAGGACAGCTGCACCAAAGTCATGTGAGCCCACCTGCTAACTTGCACAAGTGCCAGGAACAAGTCTGCAGACGTGCTTTCCTTTGTAGGTAACAAAATAATAAAAACAAAAGGCTTTAACCCTCTGGAGGCAGGCGTTGCAGATTTGCGACTGTTAAAACCTACTTACCTGGTTACTCCACATATGTATGAGAATTTTTTAACTCAGAAGTACACCTGAAGGACTTAGTTGTTTGTCCTTTTATCAAAACTTATTTTGAGCCTGAGAGGGTTGAATTTTGTCTGAATTTGGATTTGCAAAAATGAACCTAAGTTTACTGGAATTTTTTTGGGAAAAATTAGCAAAGATTGTTTTATTCCCCTTCATTGAATTTAAATGCCAAAATAAAAAAAACATTAGATAATGTGGTCAAAGTGAAACATATTGAGTCCCTTTACGAAAAAAAATGAATGAAATGAAAGTAAACAAGACCATCAATTCAATCTAGATGAGAGCACCAGTTTTCAATCTTTAATACTCAAGTCTGCAGCATACAGCACACGAGAAAGCTGCAACAAAACGTAAAAATCAAAAGCTATGCGAGGCTAAGTTGTACCATATCTGTTCAGGCCAACCACAAGCGTGTGCAGCTGGTCGAGCGTTCTATCAAAACCATAGGATGATCATTAAGCCACTTTAATTTTAATCCACCACTAAGAAGACACAAAGTAAATGAAATGACTTGTAGGGAAGCTGCAGGCAAAATGACTGCCAAAGGTTAGTTAATGAACTGCTACACGCTAAAGGAAATCATGTAAAAAACGTGACCAGTCCTTATCTGTGCACCATATCAAACCACATAATAAAAAGCTGCTACTGAGCTGCTACTATTAAGACACCAATAAACACATTTACTCTGATGGATGATTACAGGCTTCCAACACAATCTCCATTTAAATAAATTAAATATTTTCCCCACAGTCGAACTTCATGTTTAATTGCTTTGTTAAAAATTTAAAATAAAAGTTTGGAAGGCTGGGTTTTTAATGCCTAACCCACAAAAATGCTGCTTAATTTTTTCTGAGAGCAAAAAACCTGTTTTTCTGTAATTTTCTTAAAAGTCTAACAACTAACCTTCCATTTTCTACACATAAAAGTAATGACACTCAACACAAAGTGACAGCTACTTTATGTGCATGTTACGTAAGATTTCTGAAATTATGTAAGGATATTTTTCCACTGTTCCCCCTGAGGTTGTTTCATTTACTTAAAATTTGTAGCTAAAAGAAAACACCGAATGCAAAGTTCTAATGGTATGTTGAGCTAAAGCTCCTTAACATTACCTAGAATGTGTTAATAACACTATCTAAACACTCTTAGTGTGATGAGATTTTAAAAGCACAAGAGCCTTGCAATGATTATCATGTAACAGGTTCCTTCGTTTATATGAAAATAAGTAATACACTTGTTAAAATTCCGAGCAAACATCAATGCAACTTGTAGGATACAGATTAGAGAGTAAAATGCTGGAGTTTAAGGTGAAGCCAGGAGCTGCAGGCTGGATGTTACCCAGAAGAAGAGTTTGTAGGGCATCCTGATCTCTCTGACAGCGGCAGCCATTGCTGTCTATAACGGGGTCTCGTAAGCAGTGGCTGACCTTGACAAAAACTTTTACCAAGTTACATCCCCGCACTGATGACACGATGTCCGATTAGTACTTCGTTTAATCGCATTCATAAACCACATTTAAACATTTGTGATGCGGTTTCTCCGCCCCTGCTGGTGTCGAGCACTAAAATTTATGCAATCAGCTAAAAACGGATCATCCTTCTGACTCATCTGTAGCCTGCTGAGGTTGGACTAGCCGTAGTTTCTCTGCTGCTGGTTCTATTTTGACATATTAAACAAACAGCAGCACGTTAATTTATATTTTAAGGTGAATCCGAGCTTCATTAATTCCCCGTTAGCGCGTTTTTTTTTATTTTGTTGTAAAACAATGGCAGCTTCCACCGGCTCCTGTCGCTCTTATCTCTGTGCTGGCCTTCGTCTTTATCTACGTTTTCCTCCTCTTCCACATCACTTATCCATCCAGCACCTAGCTAGCCCCTATTAAAGCCCTTTAAACATACGTGTGGAGCATCACGGGCCTTTACTCGCTCATGCTAAGCACACATTAGACCCATGATTAGACCTAGCATAGCAGCGGTTAGCTGCGGTACCACCGGCTTAGAAGAACAGACTCGTTTCTTCATTCATCCCGAAGCTCCAACCATTTTTCACAAGAGCTACGCATAAGAGTGAATCCAGGTCTGGGTCAAGCAGCAGAGTCAACGTAAAATGATGCTGAGGGTGAGCCCCGTTATCTCTGATTCACTCACAGTTTCTTTGTTGCAAAGTCTGGCAATTAGCAGCCGGCGCGAGCACTGCGGGGTTTCTGGAGAAAGCTGCACCGGCGGACCTGGACAGCGCGCTGAGGACTTTCAAATATCCAGCCATGTTAAGTTGCTTTTTCCTGGACCCTGCCGGAACCACTTTTTTTGCGGTCAGCACTCGACGAAACTCAGAGCGAAGAGAGGGCGACGCGTTCCCAACCCTCTGCAAATATAGTCAGGAGGCTGCACCGCTCTCCCTTCCCTCCCCGGCGGGACACGCTGTGCACTACGTCAGAGGCACACAGCGTTGCACGCTTGCACTGGACAGCTGTGAGAAGTCGCTCAGACGAGGACCAAAATCAACAAGTTAAAAGTCCTCACGGGCAATGTTATTTTTTTCTTACTTATTTGAAAAAATGCAATATATTTGATTGCATTTTACTTTTTTATTTACACTACTCGAAATAGGTCCAGAATATACATATTATTAAAACAGGTTGATCACAAAAATAATAAAATGTTGTTATTTAAATGAAGAGACAAAACTCCACCAATCTAGAAATGTGATTGAGGACTGCACGAAATCCCTCTGAGGGCCACAAATGGCCCCTGGCTAAAATAATAATTTATTTACATGTCAAATTTGTATAGTAATTTCCAGAATTAATTAATTAATTAACTCATTCATTAGTTCTTCCTAAAAGAGGGAACAAACAGCAAAAAATGCATCTAAACTTGATCAAAAAACAAGTGTTGATGGTATGATTCCCAGTGCATTTTTATATTCACCCTGTATAAGAAATCATGTCAAGTCAATAAGCTCAAGGCCAAGTGGTGTTGAAGTTTATGTCCAGTCACAGTTACTTTTCTGGTTTAATGAAGCTGAATCTAACATGATTAAAGTTGTGATTTGAGTTGAATCTATGTTTTCATTGTTTAGGCATTTTGCAGCTGCCTTTGTCCAAAGCGATTTACAGATTAAACCTAACGTGCATGTTTTTGGTCTGTGAGGAAACTCAGAGAACCCATGCATGGGGAGAACATGCAAACTCAGTACAGAAAGGCTGCTGGCCAAATTCAAATCTGCAGCCTCCTAGTTGCAACAGTGCTGCACCACCATCATGCAGCTGAGTCATGTAACTCATATAGCTCAAGATGAAGTGAGAATGAAAGAAAGGAATGTAAACAATAAACAAGATTACTTTAAAATTCTAAAATAATTAGAGAAACTGCTATAAAAGAGACTTGGCTACAGGTCAAAATGCATTACAAGATACAATAAATCAAGGAGAGATAGAAAATAACCTAAATATTTTCAAAACACCAGATTTAAGCCAATTGATCACAAAGAGATTGAAAACACGGATCTGAAACTTAACACAAAAAAAAACACATATAACCAAATCTGAGAAGCATCCACAGAATCCAAACTCCACTGATAACACTGCCATATTACATTTTCCATCTTCAAAAAGCTCAGATAGAGCCAGAGAATAAAACATAGACTCATATGATTTGTCTGTGACTCCTAATTTAAAGCTTTGAAAAGCATTGCAGTTTTAACTTTTACTATGTTATTTTTCATATTTGTGCACCTGCATTTTTTTAAGGTTAGAAAAGGTTTTGTGACTCAGCCAGACCACAATTTATTGCAAATAATAATAATAATAATAATAATAATAATAATAATGCTTGCTAAAATAATTGTATAGAATGATTTAAAAATGTTCTCAGAAACTGTTTTTCCTGTAAACAGAAGGTAAAAACGTTTTCTCTGCCGCTCCGTGGTCAGGCTGATAAAGAGCCACATGAGCTGCTGATAACAGCATTCCTTTAATTCTTAGGAACAAACGTTTTATTGATTTTTTTATAAATACAATCAAACTTTATTTCACAGCTGTTTGAACCCTAGTGTTTGAAGATATGACTCGTAAAAAATGTAACATTTTCTACCAATCATAGTTAGTGATCATTAAATATGTCCTTTAGACCCCAATAAATCTCACCTATTAACATTTTAAAAAGAAACTTCAGATTCTGAAAATGCAAAACATTTGGTGAGATTTTGAAATTAGTGTAAGAAGATCTAATTCATCTTGCAGAATTATGGATGAGGCGTTTCTACACCACAATCGTCGAGTCCATCCTCACCTCTTCAATCACCGTGTGGTACTCTGGAGCCACCATCAGGGATATGAGGAGGCTGCAGCATGCCGTGCGCTCTGCTGAGAAGGTCATTGGCTGCAAACTCCCCTACAGGACCTGTACTCCTCCAGGACATTTAGGCGTGCAGGTTGGATCACAGCAGACCCGTCTCACCCTGGACAGTCTCTTCGACTCACTCCCATCTGGCAGAAGGTTCCAATCCATTCGGGCCAGAACCTCTCGCCACAAGAACAGTTTCTTCCTCTTTGCAGTTGGACTCATGAATGTCAATCATAGACCTTCCCACTCCAGTTGTTTTTTTCCAGTCACATGACCCTAGTGTTGTATTTGCACCTGAACTCATCTGCTCTGACAAGTACCTACACTGACTTGTTTTAAAGTAGGTGCTTCTCTAACTATCGTTTCACTGTCATTTCACTGTGTTTATTTCTTCATTCTAATTTTTACTTATCGTTTTTTTTTTTTGCACCAAGTACCGCAGCAATTTCCCAATGATGTGATTCTTGCACACATGGCAATAAAACCCTTCTGATTCTGATTCAGATTAACCATTTTCAGGGAACTATGGGAACATCTAACAGCAGTGGAAGACAAGTGTAATAAACCGGTTAGGTAACAATTTACAATTAGGCTCCTTAAAGTGCCAGAGGGGATGTCTGCTCAGTAATGCATTACTTAATATGGTTAAGCAATTGTTAGTGCTTAAATAGTTGTTAATGCTTAATAATGCAGTAAGTAAAGTTCATAACGGGACCATTATTATAAAGTGTTATCAGGTAATTTGTTTACCTTCTTGGTGGTCTAGTGGTAGAGTGTCTGGGAGCACTGGGGCTGGGAGATCGGGGTTCCTGGTTGGGTCATACCAAAGATTAAAGATGGGACCCAATGCCTGCTTGAGCTTTAAGGTGTTCTATTGGGGGGGGGGTTAATCCACCAAATAGTTCCTGAACGCAACCACAGCAGGAAAATGCTTAATTTCTGTTTCAATTTAAGCCACAGATTTTAAGATGAAATGCATATCATTAAGAGATTAATTAATGTAAATGTCACTTCCTCTGTGAAAAGCTCACATTTAATTTCATTCCTTGTCTTTGGAAACATAGAACAATGCAAATAAAAGAGAAACTTTATGCAACTTTCTGATTTATTTCAGAGCTCCCAAAACTACCACCTCCCTAAATAAAATCTGTGCTTTTGTCTCATTTCTGAATGTGATGTTTTATCTGTTCTATCCTTTTTATCTAGTTCGTTATGGCTTCTGCTGCATTTGGTCTATAGTTTTATTGCCCTCTCTTGACCTCTTAGACTCATAAAAGCTTGCTCATAAACTCAGTGATTCTTATCTGTCACCACAAAAACAAAGAAGTCAGTAAGTCACAACATTTTTACAATTCATCAGTAGTTTGTTATTTATCTGCTGGAAAATACCCATGAAAAGGCCTGGGCTGAGGTCGTGTCTAAATTTAGCAAAGGAAGCTCACCATACTGGGAAACTGACTGGGAAGTGAGTAAAGCAGTCATGTGACACGTGGTGGGGAGGCGGCAGTCGGGTCACCTCTGAAGTACGCTTTGAGGAAATGGGCATTGTAGTGGATAAAAAAAAAGTGATTAAAAGTTGTCAGGACGCAGCAGTTTAAGCTCGTTTTCAGATTAAATAATCCCATAACACAAATCAATACACAAGGTGGATTATATCCTGGAATATCTGCTCAGTTTAGCCTAAAATGTGCAAATAGAAAGTGTAACTATAACAATTTGTGGTCACGTCAGGGTCAGAGGCAGTAACAAAATCCTCTACTTTCTTCAACAGCCCGTGTCTGTTAACACGCCTGCATGTCTACATGCACTCTCCTTCAAATGTTCTCAGGTGTCACCTAGTAAGCCTCAAGGTTAGATCTCTATTTATAACCCTCATCAAGTTCATATTGTCAGAATGCTCCGTAGAGCTGTAAAGTTCAAAGAAGGTGGTAACTTTTTGATCTGCAAAAGTATTTTACTGACATGAATCAGAGTAGAGCTAAATGTGTTATTTCTGGTCAGTTTGTGGTTTTTAATCATGTTTTTATTTCTGGATTTGGTTGTGGGTGCTGCTGCTGTGACTACTGCCATCTTGGCAGGTTTGCATGTCTGCTCATGTAAGATCAAATACACATGTTTGTGCTTGAATAAGTATTTGATGCTAACGTTTGGTTTTGTTGTCAAAACTAAACTTCCCATTTTAAATAAATTATAGTTGGACGTGCAGCAGGTGCGTCATCTGCTGGAGGCTTTTGGGAAGTAGACAGCATAATCCTGAGCCCACAGTGACCTCTGCTGGTTATTCTGAGATTCTGGTTACAGTATTATGATTGCTGGAAAAAAATATTATGATAGTTTTTAGTTAAATATATTACATTTAATGTTATTATTGCGGCAGTGTAGTAATTTAATTTGAGTGTAAATGTAACAGATTTAATGTATTTATCATGCACTAATGAACAAAAAAGTAAATATGTTACCACATAAATGCAGTTATATTGTTGAACACAAAAAGTAAGCCCATATTAGAATATATACATTTTGATAAACATATGCATCTATATTTAACTGTTAGTTAATAATTTATAATAGTACTAATTAGTATTTCAATATGAATCTTTCAAGTTATATTAGCTGGTTAGCTATTGTTTCAGTTTGTTTTAAAAGTTATCCCGGGACTCTGCCGGCTGCTGGTTGTGGCCCCCTGGGGCGATCCTCTGTGCCTCTCGAGGGGGGCGGGGGCCTTTCTGGTTGCAGTCTCCTTGGGGTTCCTGTGTTCTAGGGCAGCGCCTGGATCTCTGAGACTTGGAGCTCCCCCCGTCTCCTGCGCATCTTTGGGGGGCGGATCTGTGGTCCCTCACACTCTCTGTTGGACGCTCCTATAGAGAAACCTTAAATAAACAAGCGCGTGTACACACACAGGTGCTCACATGGTGCTCTCAAAAGTATGGGCTTGGGCACGTTAAACACAGGTCTTAAGACTATGGTGGGCACTTAATGCACTGTGATTTATTATTGTGATTCTTCAGTTAAGCAATGTTGATTATATATTTCCTCATCAAGTTGACGCAGTGATAGCTAGATCTTGTTGTATTGTTGTTGTGTCCCATATTTTTTTTGCCCTTTTGCTTTTTTTTTTTGTCTTTTTCTGCAGGTCTAGAAGCAGACTCTTGTTCATTATTGTCTATTTTTGTGGAAAACCCCCCCCCCCCCCCCCCCCCCCCCATCTCCCCACCTTTTCTTTTCCTTTCTCTTTCACCTCTGTTTCCGTGTCTGGTCGGAATTACAAAGCATTCAAAAACAATAACAATAAAGTTTTAAGTATCAGGCGTGACATTAAAAGCAAACGCTTTAATGCTCTACCTGAGAGTAAATCTGTGAGGCTTGTTATACCAGCATTCAGACATCAATTCTGCTTGCTTCACAGCCAGACAGGACACGGTAAAAACAAAAAAAAAAGTTATCCAAAGACAAGTGACGTTTGACAGATGAATGACCAATAGGATTCAGTCTTGTCTTTGGTAGGCGGGACTTTCTGTATGTGTTATGTAGTCTACGTAGGAAGGTTGTTCTAGTTACTTTGTGGCTATTTAACTGTGTTGCTTGGTTGTAGCTGAATTCAGACTTCAAATACGGATAATTTTATCACCTGTAACATGCGGGCCTTCGCTGCAGGATGCGCGTTTGTTTTTGAGTACCCTAAAACCGTCACAGTCATCACCCTAACAGGTAATGTGGCTGAAGCTAATTATGAATTATTAGGATAAAGTTATTTTGTTCTGTTTGGACATTAAATGGGCTTCTATATGTTACTGTCTGTGCTTAAAGTGATAGACAACTTAAAAAAGAACAGAAACTCAACTAGTGGTGGGTTTATAAATGTGTTTTAACATAAAAAACTATACATTTGGTTTATTTTATATCATTTTGAGCAGTGGCGGCTGGTGAAAAATATTTTTGGTGGGGCTGTGCTATTTTTTATTTTTAAACTAACTTGTGCTTTCTGAGCTTTGTGCACAACTTCACTATTTCCTGAATTAAGCACAGCTCTTTTATTTCCTGTCTTACATCATTGGACAAACTGATTAATCCAGGTGTGTCTGACTATTGGCACGCTGCCTTGCAGACCAAGGTTGAAAAATACTGCATTAAATTGCACATAAAATAACATGACCATAAATGGTAAATAGGCAATGCAAGAGGCAAGTAACAAAAACATTTTGTTTAATTTCAACATTTGAGTGAACACGAAAAATTATGAGCAGGTCACTGTTACAGTAATGAAACACCACTTAGACAAAATGCCAGAAATTTACACTGTTAAATATTTCTGGAGTGTTGTGCCAAGGTCAACTTTATACAAAGATCAAGAGGATGCATTTGTGTGTGTGTGTGTGTGTGTGTGTGTGTGTGTGTGTGTGTGTGTGTGTGTGTGTGTGTGTGTGAGTGTGTGATACCTCATTTGTACAGAAATTTTGCCCTTCTGTCCTTCTGAATGGCAAAGCTCTCGATGAGCTTTTTATTGAAGTCAGGAATGTTAGTGACAAGCTTTTCCCATGGAGAGCATGGCAAGAGCATTCAGCCCATCCTGTGTCATGGTGTTCCTCAAGGAAAGTCTTAATCCTCTTTAAAGTAGATAAACAAAAAAACAACAGATAAGTAAATAGGAAACACTTTCATAGGAAATAATGTCATCAGTATCCTCTTACAAATGTCATATTTCCCAGTTTTTGGGACAATAAAACATTTCTGATTCTCAATCAGATGTTTTTACATTTGAGGTAAAAACATCTAATTGAGAATCAGAAATGTTTAATTGTCCCAAAAGCTGGGAAATGTGTTTGCTGCAGCAGAAGTGTAACAAGTAAAATGGAATCAGATTGATGTATGTACAAATTAACATGAAATACACATTTACGTGATTAAATATGTATAATAAGTATGTGTGTTGAAATTAGTTTTTACAGTTATTACACATTAAACATGTTATTAAACAAATGTCCTGGTTTGTGGGACAACCAAGGATTTCTGATTCTGATTGTCTTGTTCACAGAAATGTAATGTACAGCTTACCTCTGCACCCAGCTGCTGTTGTTCCCTGCATGGCAACGTTAGCTCTGCCTAGCATGGCTAGCTTCACCGTGTTGTTGTCCATGTGTGGCCGGGATGACTCGTGTTTCTTCACCTTCTTAGAAAAATGTTTCATGTCTGTAACTCCTGACTCATCCATGCCTTATCTGTCCCAGCCGTTTTGAATAACAAACATGGAAAGCAAAATAACGCATTAGCGTGATTGCATCCAGCTAGCCACTGCTTCCTGGTGTACCAATTTTGGGAGAAGCCTCGTGTGTACAGTTTACCTCTCTCCTTCTCCTGCTGGCTTATCTTTACGTCGGGCTGATCTGGTCCAAGCTCTTTGACATTAAGTTTTCCCACCATATTTCTCCTCTCGAACGTATACTGGAGAAGAGACCGAACTGAATTCAGTGGCTGCTGAGATCCGGTATCCATGCTGGTTGTAGTCACCGGCGGCGTCCATGTTACATCTGCGTCACGACCAAAAACGACTCTGCCGAGTTCTACCGAACACCAACGAAACCTTTGGCGGTAGCTCCATCGCCCATCATGCTTCTGAAACGTTCTGAAACAACGTCGACGCTGATTGGATACATTCCTATTCCTACCCTTTGATATTCTTGTCAGCAATTGGACAGCTGGTCTCGTCCTGTTTGGGCAATTGAAAAACAGCACACCGCCTCCACCGCTCGGCAGAGATCGGCAGAGACCAATATAGATATAGATATATATATATATGATTTATTTTTGTTACAAAACACACAATTAACTTAGAATATGTGATTATTGTTAATTTTATTTATTTATTTTTTAAATAAAAATTAAAAACACGGAAAAACTGGGAGGGCGGCGTCCTATCACCCTCTACTGGCCAGCCGCCACTGGAGAAGAGACCGTACTGAATTCAGTGGCTGCTGAGATCCGGTATCCATGCTGGTTGTAGTCACTGGCGGCGTCCATGTTACATCTGCGTCACGACCAAAAACGACTCTGCCGAGTTCTACCGAACACCAACGAAACCTTTGGCGGTAGCTCCATCGCCCATCATGCTTCTGAAACGTTCTGAAACAACGTCGACGCTGATTGGATACATTCCCATTCCTACCCTTTGATATTCTTGTCAGCAATTGGACAGCTGGTCTCGTCCTGTTTGGGTGATTGAAAAACAGCACACAGCCTCCACCGCTCGGCAGAGATCGGCAGAGACCGGCAGAGACCAATATATATATATATATATATATATATATATATATATATATATATGATTTATTTTTGTTACAAAACACACAATTAACTTAGAATATGTGATTATTGTTAATTTTATTTATTTATTTTTTTTAAATAAAAATTAAAAACACGGAAAAACTGGGAGGGCGGCGCCCTATCGCCCTCTACTGGCCAGCCGCCACTGATTTTGAGCATAATACTAGGTTCACATCAAGTGCTTATTTAATAATATATAGCTAAAGGTTAGTATGTAATCACCTCTTGTATGTATGGTCGGTAGTTTTATTTGTTTCAGTTTCAGTCATAAAACGTATTTTTAAGGTGAATTAACATTTCTGTTCACTTTAAATTCATGTATACATTGTTTTCTCAATAAATACACCAATGATAAAGAAGATAGGAAATAATGCTTTATCATCTGCTAATATTAAGGTACAACTTTAATATATCCAAGTGGGAAATTTGTTTTATAAAAATTCACTCACAAACCCTAACTCCTGCTCTTTTACAACAGACTCACCAAGCTTTCAATTCTATAGTTTTTCTGTTTTTGGGACTCAGATGTCACTCAGATAACACTAAAATTGTTCCTTTAACATCCAAACTCTGCAGCTTCTTATGAAAGAACAGACAATAGTTAAATGCTTACATATTCTGTCATTGCTTAGATTAAAGATTATTCTGTAATCCAGAACTCAGGTTCAGTGCGTCATTTGTAAGTTTTTTGGCCTTGTCAGCGTTAATCACAAGGACAAGATCACACCAGTTAAGCAGTTTAGCAAAGGATCACAATAGCAGAAGCAGCATCTGTACACATAAACATGGTTTATGACTGCTTTGACATGCATTAGTGTGCATCCTGAATAAAATAGGATAAATGTAACCGAGGGTTTTCTTTTTCTTTGCTCTTATTAAATCTGTTTGTTTGTTTAGTGTTGTTAAGTTTTATTTTTGAGAGTTGAAGGAAAATCTCCACTCCGGTGGACAATAAAGTTTTATTCTATTCTATTCTTTTTCTTTTATTGTGAACATTTTTCCAGGTGTGGGACTTTTTGCTTTGAAGAAATGGATGGCAGGCGGTGTGTGTCGCAGCAAAGTCCGTTTAGATGGAAAGACGGTGCTGATCACTGGAGCCAACACTGGGATTGGAAAAGAAACTGCCCTTGACCTGGCTAAAAGAGGTCACTGGATTTATGTGTCTTATTACTGGGAAACAAAATTCTTCTAAAACGTAAAGATTACCTGATGTGTTACAGGTGCAAGGGTCATTCTGGCCTGCAGAGACATGGACAGAGGCAACAGAGCTGCAGAAGATGTGAGACAGAAGAGTGGAAATAACAACGTCGTGGTCAAGACGCTGGACCTGGCATCCCTGCAGTCGGTGCGACAATTTGCTCGTGATGTGTTAGCAAACGAAGAGCGGCTGGATGTCCTCATCAATAATGCAGGTAATGATGTCATCTATCATACTCAAATTCTATGTGAGTTTACAAAATCTTGTAAAACTGCAACCCGACTCCCACTTGCATCCTTGTTTTTAGGTATTATGTCCTGTCCACAGTGGAAGACCGAAGATGGTTTTGAGATGCAGTTCGGTGTGAACCACTTGGGACACTTTCTTCTAACAAACTGTCTGCTGGATCTTTTGAAGAAGTCATCTCCAAGCCGCATTGTCAATGTCTCCAGTTTAGCCCATGAAAAAGGTGCAGCTTTTTTCTGTTTCCCTGTAAAAATGTAAATACATCTTCTTTTTTTCTTATTCATCAGCACATCTGATGAAATATCTTTCTTCAATAGGTCAAATCTATTTTGATGACATAAATCAGGAGAAAAATTACAACGGATGGAAATGCTACGCTCAAAGTAAACTCGCCAATGTCCTCTTCACAAAGGAGCTGGCTCACAAGCTTCAGGGTGTTGTAACATACTTCATCTCAACCTTTCTTTTGTATTTATTTTTAGTTAAAATAAAAATAAAGTCCTCCTGTTTTGTTTGTGGCTTCTCACTGTGCAGGTACTGGAGTAACAGCATACAGCCTCCACCCTGGAGTAATTCGGACTGAGCTTGCCCGACACATGTTGCCCACCATTCCCCTGTGGAAGAGAATTGTGTACAAACCAGTTGTTTTCTTCATTAAGAACCCAACACAGGGGGCACAGACCACCATCTACTGTGCTGTGGATGAGAGCCTGCAGAATGAGAGTGGACTCTACTACAGGTGAGTTATGCCCATGGGTATGATGAACAGAGAGCACATTGAACACAAATGTGTTAAATAATGACTAATAAACACAGCATCTGCCTCCAACTGATTTTATAGAAAGACTTAGTGGAGTTGGTGTGATTTCCAGTTAAACATGGCATTGGCTGTGTATTTTTTATGCTTGTGTGCATTCGAAAAAATTATTCTATTTTATTTGTATTCATCGACACTTGAAATACCTTTAATAATTTTTTTATCAACCAAATATATATTGCATATGCTAATGCTATACATATGTATGTATGTATGTACATGTGTATATATATATATCCATCCATCCATTGTCTGAACCCGCTTTGTCCACGTGGGGTCGTGGGGGGGGGGGGGGGGGGGGGGGGGGGCTGGTGCCTGGTGCCTGGTGCCTATCTCCAGCGGTCAATGGAAATCAGGCGGAGTACACCCTGGACAGAGAGCCAATCCATCGCAGGGCAACACAGAGGCCTAGTCCACACGTAGCCGGGTTTTTTTAAAAACGAATATCCGCCCCTCTAAAAACTCGCATCCACACCACCGCGTTTTAAAAACAAACTCTGTCCACACGTACCCAGATAAATACGTTGTTAAGGACATGCCAGACCTGTAGGCGGCAGTACTTCCCCCGTTCTTAACCTCGTCCTTCGTCTGTGGTCTTCCGCAAGGAGCAGTAACTCCACTTGCAAAAACAAACAAGCAGAAAGCGCTTGGACAATTGATGGATCGGGTAGTGACAGAGCGCAGCTCTGAAGGTTTCCATGATGCCGGCTAGTGTAAACACAGGTCGCACACGTGATCTCAGCATTTTTTGTCGCGGAAAGTGACGTTGCGGACCTTAAAACTCCGGTTTTGTCCGTCCACACGCAGACACCCAAAACGGAGAAAACGCAGATCTTCACTTTGGCCGGAGTTTTTAAAAAGATCCGTTTTCGTGTGAAAAAACTCCGTTTTCGTGTGGATGACAGGCCAAAACGCAGAAAAATATCTACGTTTTGGCAGATCCCCGGCTACGTGTGGACAGGGCCAGAGACACACAGCACAAACAATCATGCACACACACACACACACACACTCACACCTAAGGTCAATTTAGACAGACCAATTAACCTAACAGTCATGTTTTTGGACTGTGGGAGGAAGCCGGATTACCCGGAGAGAACCCACGCATGCACAGGGAGAACATGCAAACTCCATGCAGCAAGATCACAGGCTGGGAAGCGAACCCAGGACCTTCTTGCTGCAAGGCAACAGCTCTAACCACTGCGCCACTGCGCATCCCCATAATATATAGTAAAAAAAAAAATATTTTTTTGTTCATCACTTTGACCTACAGGATTTAAAAAATGGGCATGATTGAGCTTTGTTCTTGTCACTTTTTTTTCTAAAATTCTAAACGTTAAATGTGATTTCATTTTTAATTAATATTTAGCTCCAACAAGTGGGCCAGAGTGCCCCAGTAACATATTACTTTTGCAGTTAAACAGTTTTAGTTAAAATAGGAACATTTCACCTGCTGTGGCACTTAGGAAGTCTCTCCTTACGCGTAAACCTGAACCTCCTTCTTGTGCGTAATCAATTGTCTCAAGGGAGGATGGTGGAAAAGGTTATCATGAGGTTCTGGGGTCTCATTTATCAAACATTGCATAGAATCCCTACTAAAACCGTACTTAAGCTCAGCAAAAAAAATGTACTTACGCCAAGTAGGTTTGTGATCTATCAAACATGGAGTACGCACAGCTGCACGCAATCTCGGCTTCATAAATCAGAAACTATCTAGAAAGGTTCTCAGCTGCTTTTTAGTCACATCCCGCCCTCACCACGCCCACTTACTGCCATAAATAGTCAATGCAAAGTACCTTGTGGATCTCATGCATGTACATAAGCCGACTGTTGCAGCGTTCCACCAATGATGATGGCGACCGTAGATCAAGGCAGGTCAAGGAAGCGCTATTTCACAAGCAGAAATTGAGGTACCAGTGGGTGAGGTGGAGAAATGAAAGGAAGTGCTTTTGCAAAACAAATAAGAGAAAATCCACAGAGTGGCACAGCGTTGCTGAAGCCGTCAATGTTGCAAATTCTTCAGAGGGATCTGTGGCGCATATAAAAAAAATGGTCCAATCGGGATTCGATCCCCAGACTCCCGGGTGAAAGTCACACACGCTAACCAGTCACCCAGATGGAGAGCTCCCTTGTCCAAGTAACCAGGGCGTATGATCGATCAGGTCACGGTGACAGGATCCTCACACTGTCACAGACGCATGACATTCTGTCTCAATCTGCCCCCCTGCTGATAATCTGCATTCCGCATTCTGAGCTTCAGGCTGTGTGTGTGTGTGTGCGCGCGCATGTGCGTGTGAGTGTGCACACATGCGTGTGGGGGGTCTTGTTCTGTGTGAAAACGAAGCAGTACAAGTGATAATGCTGCAGGATTTCACAATTTTATCCTTCTCAGCAGCAGCACTGCAGGTGCTCTCCATGTCCAAAATGTGCTTAAGCCAGGTCCTTAGTCAACTTAAAGTTGAACACTTTTTTCCGCTAACTCTTCTTTCATAAATCCCAATGTTTGCATGGAAAATTGCTTACGCAGTTTTCCGACTCCGTTTTCTGCGTAAGCAAGCTTGATAAATGAGGCCCCTGGGCTTTTGCCTCTGACAGACTCATGGGTGTTTTAATGTTGTTCTAGAGGCTGATCCGTGTTTAATTTGGACCTAAATGCAGGAGAGCAGGCACAGGAAGCAGACTTGCTGGTAAAAAGAACTGTTTTATTTGGGTAATGGCAGGTAGGAAGACATGATGGGAAGGCAAGACGAGGATCTGACAAAGACAAGGACAGAGAGTTTAAATGCACGAGTATAGTCAGAGAAACAGGTGGATAGGTTTAACGAGGTGCAGGTGAGTGAAATTGCCAATTAACTAGGGGAGATGAGACACAAGGGGCTGCAGAAGCAGATCCTGTACAGCAGGGGTGTCAAACTCAAACTCACACGGGGCCGAAATGAAACTCTGGGACGGAGTCGAGGGCCAAACTTAATATTTTTTGAAAAAGTGACGGCAAATTTGCACATTTTCTTTATCAACATATATGCAATTTTGAACCTTTAAATTTGGAAACAAACATATTTCTGCATTAACACTGAATGTGGAATAACCAAATTACACACGAGCAAGTCAGTTTTAAATAAAAGGCATCAGTGGTATTCATTACTTGTGGTATAATCAGCCTTTTTAAAATCTATTCAGGATTCATGTTTTCTTGTTTATTCATTTTTCTTATTTTTTATTCTCCTGTAATAAGTGTCATCGCTGCTGTGACATCTAGCTTTCCCCACTGAGGAACAATAAAGGGATTTTCTATTCTATTCATCTATCTGCAGCCTTTCCACTTCCTGTTTACTGTAGGTTAAATCTTTTCTCACGGGCCAACAACAAAATATCATTTTATCTTAAATGAAAATGCAACATCTCACCTGTTAACTTTCACGTTTTGGAGCAGAAAAAGAGCATAAAACCAACATATTTAAAGCTCAGTTTGCTCCACTGGTTTACTGTGATGCTCACCTGTTCCAGCCAGATACCTGCATCATGGGGTTGATCTGAGCTGAGGAGGAGACTCCTGTTGTTTTGTTCATCTTCATCATAATAATGACAACATTAGATGACAACAGGTGCTCACATAGGTTTGTGCTGCTGAACATGTCTGAGCAGCTTGACCACGTTGTTGTGTGTCGGGGAGGAAACACAACTACAGCAGCCACAGAGTCATGCTGGTTTGAGCGTGTCGCTGCTCGCTGGAGTTATATCAGCTCTGTCTGGACTTTAGTTGGAAAACTTTCTCTTTCAGTCGTGAACACATTACTGAGCGGCTAGAATCTCCGTTTCTCGGCTTCAACGTCAGAAAATAGCTGAGTAAACTCGGCGCTGAGTGAGAGGAGTGTAGTTTGTCCGAGACAGCGGAGCTGCAGACACCGGCAGCAGGCGCTGGAAAAAACTCAAAGGAGGGGGTGCGTCGGCTCCGCGCTGACGCTGCAAAGCATCATGGGAGTTGAAGTCTTTGGGGCCAGTTTTAATATATTTTTGATATTTATTTCGCGGGCCACATAAAAATGCTCCGCGGGCCGCATCTGGCCCGCGGGCCTTGAGTCTGACATATGTGCTGTACAGCAGTGGCGGCTGGTGAAAAATATTTTTGGTGGGGCTGTGCTTTTTTTTATTTTTAAACAAACTTGTGCTTTCTGAGCTTTGTGCACAACTTCACTATTTCCTGAATTAAGCACAGCTCTTTTATTTCCTGTCTTACATCATTGGACAAACTGATTAATCCAGGTGTGTCTGACTATTGGCACGCTGCCTTGCGGACCAAGGTTGAAAAATACTGCATTAAATGGCACATAAAATAACATGACCATAAATGGTAAATAGGCAATGCAAGAGGCAAGTAACAAAAACATTTTGTTTAATTTCAACATTTGAGTGAACACCAAAAATTATGAGCAGGTCACTGTTACAGTAATGAAACACCACTTAGACAAAATGCCAGAAATTTACACTGTTAAATATTTCTGGAGTGTTGTGCCAAGGTCAACTTTATACAAAGGTCAAGTGGATGCATTTGTGTGTGTGTGTGTGTGATACCTCATTTGTACAGAAATTTTGCCCTTCTGTCCTTCTGAGTGGCAAAGCTCTCGATTAGCTTTTTATTGAAGTCAGGAATGTTTGTGACAAGCTTTTTTTTCCATGGAGAGCATGGCAAGAGCATTCAGCCCATCCTGTGTCATGGTGTTCCTCAAGGAAAGTCTTAATCCTCTTTAAAGTAGATAAACAAAAAAACAACAGATAAGTAAATAGGAAACACTTTCATAGGAAATAATGTCATCAGTATCCTCTTACAAATGTCATATTTCCCAGTTTTTGGGACAATAAAACATTTCTGATTCTCAATCAGATGTTTTTACATTTGAGGTAAAAACATCTAATTGAGAATC